TAAATGTGTCAAATTTGATCTGTGTGTCCGTTAAGCTGATCAAAAAACATCTTTTTTTTGTACATACTGTGGTGGAAAAAAAAAACAGAATTGTGAGATGTTGACTCACAATTGTGACTTTATAACTCGATGTAAACTTGCTAAGAAAAAAAGACCGAATTGTGAGATTAAAGAGTCGCAATTACCTTTTTATATATTTTTTTCTGTGGTGGAAGAATTACACCTACAAGATGTAATCTCAGAATTGTGCAAAAGAAAAGTGAGATTTGCGAGTTTATATCTTGATTATGAAAATAGTCCAAATTGTGAAATATAAACTCAGAATTGTAATAAAGATCTGTGAGATTAAAAAGTTGCAATTACCTTTTAAATGTTTTTTTATCCCATGGTGGATACAAGCTTCAACAACCTCTTAAAAGCTCTTAAATCAAATATAATGCGAAATAGTCAAATTAGTTTGCTGTTAAAATTATGTTCTTTACAATATCACATCTGTTTTGAGTGCATATTTTAATTTTATCAGTGCACTCTGGGATTGTTTGCATGTGTGTTTGACTGATCAGGAAATGCAGCATTGATACAAGCGTCATGAAGCATATGGTATTGCTGTCAGCTGAGTCCAAGTAAGACACAAACACACACACACACCCAAAAGCACACATATGGTAATTTCAATATTCATGCAGTTGGTTACAGCCAAACTTAAAATCACCATCTATCTTGACAGGCTTTTAAACAGCACTCAGGAAATCTGTCTCCCTCTCTCTATCTTTGCATTTTGCATTATCATCAGAAGATCACCAGCTGTGTCTTAGTCTCTAGTGTCCTACATATGTGCACAAATCAATACGATGCCTATATGCATCTGTCTGTGTGCTTTTAATAATCCTAACAGATATAGAGAGCTCCATTATATAGATTGATCTGTCTTTTACATCAGCCCCATTCTTACATATTAAAGTGGAGCATGCATCAACGCAAACTTACTCAATTGACCTTAATGGTCATCTGATTTGATTTGATTTGATTTAAGGTAATTTAAGCTAGATATATTTCATAAACCTATAACTGAATCCGTACAGTTTGTGCAGCTCCTGAAAATGTAAAAACTCTTGTTTCACTATATATTTTTAAAGATATTAAAAAATGCATACAGTAAAATATAAGAAAATAAAATATATAAAAAATATAGTAAAAATATATAATAGTATATAAAACACACACACAGGGTTGTTTTTGTGAATTGTGGGGACATTCCATAGGCTTAATGATTTTTATACTGTACAAACCGTATTTTCTATCGCCCTACACCAACCCTACACCTAAACCTACCCCTTACAGGAAACTTTCTGCATTTTTAGATTTTCAAAATAAACTAATTCTGAATTGTTTATAAGCCTTTTGAAATATGGGGACACTCAAAATGTCCTCATAAATCACCTTCTCGTTGTAATACCTATGTCATACCCATGTCATTATACAAATTTGTGTCCTCTTAAATCACAAAAACGCGAGCGCACACACACACACACACACACACACACACACACACACTCACACACTTGTTTTAAGCATAAATGTAACTAAACAAGAAATAAAACAAGGCAAGGTTTTAAATGTTGAACAAGTATTCCCAAATGATAGATGGACATCATATATACATATATACTGTATATATATATATATATATATATATATGTATAGTATTTTAAAAATATAACATTCTCTGACCCTGCAGTTTCGATATTGTTACGGGTTAAGTTATAAATTTCCCTTTCATCAACAACATGACTCATTTATCTTATTTTGTTTTTCAACACATCTCCCCTCTTTTTTTATTGCTCTCAATGCTTTCCAAAGACTTCCAGCTCCTCTCTACACGTTGAGCGATCCACATGTCCAAAGAAAATATGAAGAGGTCAGGAATAAGCTGGGATATTCTAGGCAGGGTTAAGACAACATAACAGGGGCCTGTCGGGGGCCGCGCTTCAGGCCTCATAGATCTCATGAAAGAGGGATGGATCCGTGAAAATATTTGGATGTTCTAGGCGAGCGAAGTGCCTGAAAGTCTATGTTTGTGCATGTGTGACTGGTAGCGTGTGGTCAGTTTCCGAAAATCCAGGAATAAGGAGAAATTGAAGTGCTTCTCAAGATCGGTTGTCCAACTGCTACTTTAGATATTTTCTAGTGAACGGCTTGGTGATGTGAGACCGAGTCAGAAATAGCAGTGAGCTGTGATTAAACATTCACACAGGCTTTTCTATCAGAAACGTGCGCAGCATTTAGTGGCATCAAAGTGACAGACGGCTGGAAAATTTATAAGATTTTCTATTTGTATAAAGATAAGGCAAGCATAAAGTTCATTCGCTTGTTGAGCGTGACACACAAATTGATCACTGTCTGCGACCTATGACCTTTCAAACCCCTGACCCCCAGCAGACAGATGGCTCTGTGGTTGAGGGGAGGAGATATCCTATTCTCAGTCAGTGTCATTGTGTTCTTACTCTGGCTCTCCTTTCTCTGTTTTCCTTTCTGTTTTCAGTATAAGCATCATTAGTCTCAGCAGAAACTTGACTATTTCTATAGAAAATAATACCACATTCCAGTCAGGCAGTACACGAAACCAGAAAGCACGTTCTTGGTGGTTAAATTGCTCTTTTAGAGACCCAGGTGTTCCTCAGCGTAAGGTCAAAACCACTAAGCTTTGATACACCCAAGGTCGACAGGATCTGGAATGGGAATCATGGTGCCTTTATGGGCTTTCTGACCTCAAACTTTGTTTGTTCATCACTTTATGTTCAATAAACAGTTGTGATACATTTGTTCATGTTTTATGCACAAAAACCTGTATCTTATTCACCCAGTGTGGTTTAACTAAGCACTAACTGCACTGAATCCGTGCACCTTGAATCAGTAATCGTAATTTAATTTTTTCCCCAAATCATGCAGTCCTATTTTGAAAGATTGTGCATTCAGCTGTATGTGTTTGCTGAATGTTTGCGCCAAAACTGTTTGCACCAAAAAGTATATGTTGGGCTAAATCATTTGGCTGTACATATGCTTAGTGTTCATGTCAAAACTGTATGCTTTGGGCTTATACGTTTGGATGTATGTGTACGCTAAGTGTTTGCGTCAAAACTGAAGTATACATTGGACTGCATTTGACTGCACGTGAATGCTAAATGCTCGCATCAGAACTGAAATATACGTTGGCTGTACACATACACTAAGTATGCGTATCAAAATTGAAGTAAACTTTTGGCTTATGCATTTGGCTATATGCTAAGTGTTTGTGTCAAAACTCAAGTATACTTCGGGCTTTAAGCATTTGGTTGTATGCTAAGTGTTTGCGTCAAAAATGAAGTAAACTTTGGGCTTATGCGTTTGGCTGCATGCATACGCTAAGTGTTTGTGTCAAAACTGGCGTAAACTCTGGGCTTATGTGTTTGGCTGTATGCATACGCTAAGCGTACGAATCAAAACTGACGTGAACTTTGGGTTTATGCGTTTGGCTATATGCATACACTGAGCGTTCACATCAAAACCGAATTATACATTGGGTTTATGCGTTCGCGTCAAAATCAAAGTATACTTTAGACTTAAGAGTTTGTCTTTATGCATAGACTAAAAGTTTGCATCAAAATTGAAGTATAATTTGCTTATGCAGTTGGCTGTAAGTTAATGCTACACCTTTGTGTCAAAACTGAAGTATACTTTGGGCTTATGTGTTTGGCTGTATGCATACACTGAGAGTTTGTGTCAAAACTTAAATATACATTGGGCTTTAGTAAATCCCCCTACATGAGTCTAACTGATTGGTTAACCTTCTGGGTACACATTTAATAGCAAACTGTAGTGGAAACTTCCTCGCAGTGGTGGTTTGGTTATCAAGTGGATTGATGCATATGTGTTTAGTCTGCACACACAAAGTACAATCAATTAGTCCATTTAAGGCTAAAACATTTGCTTTTGATTCAGGTCTAAATTGGAATAGGAAAATGAGGTTTCTATTATCTCTCTTTGACTTCACTGTTCGGTTAAAGTATATGCTGTCAGCTTTAATTTGAGGATATTTGCATTCATAAGGGTTGAAATTACAGTCTTTGAGCAAATGTAATTGGGCAGCTGGCTGTTCAGCTGTCTCCTGTCCAGGTGTGCGTCACTGCAGCTTTAGCACATGCACAAACGAGAGCTAATAAAAGGTTTAGTGTTGAGTCTAGGTGTGTCATTGGTGTCTTTCAACAAATGTGATGTTTACCATTGACACCATCTTAAATAAGGAGCAATAATGTGTAATGCCTGAAAATGCAGCGTTCAGATTTATTATATCATATTCAGGCCTAATATAGATAGTTGTAATGAGATAATAACCTTTTTTCTACTCCCACCCTGTTGCCATTTTCCAAACAGGTGGTCTGTCTGGGACAACCTGCCCCAGTTTCTTTCCTCATCCCAGCAGATAGTAAGACTAAAATGATCCTTTGTTTTCTCAAGTCTGAGTTGTTCCCTTCATTCTGTCCATCTAGAGCTCAGGGCCCCTGACTCAGTATGATAGTAGTGACACCAAAGATAAAGAATCACATTTCTCAGTGTCCTATTGTATTCTGTATATATGTGCGCTGACGCCAGTAGCACTTTATAAACAGGTAGCTGGAAAAGTTTGTTCGAGAAACAATCCGCTTCTATATACACTTCTAACTTAAATTATTACATAACACAATGGAGTGGTCCATCTGGGTGAACGTTGAAAAGTTAAATGGTCCTCTAATGTCCCCTGGTGGTTTATTGTGAGAACTTCCTCCAAAATAAATAAATAAATAAATAAATAAATTACCTACACCTAAAAATTGCTTTCTTTTTTATATATTATATAATACTAATATTTTTAAAATAACATTTATTAAATGACTTAATATATGTCTATATATAGTGTATAATTAAAAATGTATTTTATAATGTATTTTAATCCTTAAAATTGCATGCAGACTGCTGTTTTTTTACTGAAACTCAAAGGAATATTAAGGAATAACCGTCTTTGATCCATAAGACAGAAGCTGTTCTTCCCTCCGTCATACTGCTGACCATGCAAGTCATTTAGGGCCACATGGAGCATTAGATTTTAATGAATGTGGATTATTTATACAAGTTACATCACCAACAAGATGTTATGGTGGCTTCGATCTTTCTAGTAGGCTGCAGATTGATATTACTTTGAGAGAGCCCAGTGACAGGCCTAACTGGATACACAATTCCACTGAAGAAAAAAACAAGACTTCAAGACTCAGGTATAGTGACAAATGTGAAAGATGTTTGTCAGGCTGTAGGGGACTACATGGTTGGTAATATATTTAGTTAGTTAGTTAGAAATTCTTGTCTTAATGGCAGTGATTTAGAGCAGGGGTTTTCAAACTGGGCTCCAGGGGGCTTTAAGTGGGTGCTGGAGGGGTCCATGGAAAATGTCAGAGGGAACAAAGTGATAAAATTAAAAGAAAAGAAAAAAATATTGTGAAAATGGCCCATTTGTATTGTGAAGTTGTATACAGATGACCTTGATTTTATTAATTAATTTGAATTAATATTGTTCAGATAATATTTTAATTATATCTTTTTGGTTAGTACAATAGCAAAATAAGGCCAGTTATTAAAGCTTTAAACACTTTTCCAATATCTCACTTCTCAAAAAAGAGCCCAAAAGTTTGAAAACTCCTAATTTTGAATTCAGACATTAAACATTTTTCAGAAAATCTAGATGAATCTGAGTCAGAATAAACCAGTACTGACCTGACACAGTGAAACTCTCTGCTCAAGTCTTTGTTTCCCTGCCAGCTCACACACTCCTCTCCTGCTGTTTGGTAACATCTTATTTTAATCATAATTTTATTTTCTCACACTCTGGTTAAAGCTGCATCTGCAGTCAGAAATAGGCAGTGGTTTGCAAAAATGCCTCGGAAAAGTGAAGCAAGTTCTAAGAAGAGGTTTTGCATCTATTAAAATGAAATCCAGAATAGTGATTGAAGAAAATGGTTTTTACAATGACAGATTCTTGAACGTTTGAATTCTCAGTCTTGAATATTTGGTTATGCCATTTAGAAAAAAGCTACAATTTTCTTCATCCAGACATTTTGTCTCACCTCACACAGCTCTATGTGACTAAATACAGACTTGTTGTAAGGTCAAAGGCCACAGACCCTTTTAGGGAAACACTTGTCATTGTGGTGCCAGTGGGTCGGCACCAGTGTTTGTGGAAGTAAAGCAAATAGTATCAGTCCAAAAGTGAACCCTGACCTTTGACCTCTCTATCCAGTATGTCTATCTCCATTCCCCTGAATTGATCTGTTAGATTTTTCTGGATCTAGTGTGTGAGTGAGAAAATTCCCATAATGATACGTGTCTTTGAAGAGAGCTATTACTCAAGAGTGTATTATTTTTCTGAGCTTGTATGTGGAATTTGCGTTATGGAGAAGAAGAGTCTTTAAATGAGTCTGTATGCGCATCTTTTTGTTTCTGTATGTGTGTACGGAGTCAGTGGTGTAGAGACAGTGCAACACAGGAAGCCAGCATGTCTTCCATATCTGCAGAGTACAAGGACTTATACATTTGAACTCACCTTGAACACACTCCAGGTAAGCTGTGCCTGGCGGGCCGATCTCATTAAAAAAATCTCACACTATCAGTTATGGCTTGTAAATGGAAACCGGTTCAGATGCTTCATGGCACCTTTTATTGTGGTTGTCAGACATTTAGAAAATCATGAGTATAAGTGTTTTATTTCAGTCTCCGGGAGCTTGGTTGCTCGCCACAGACTTTTACGGCAGACAAATAAATGTAACAATCTGCTTTTCACGTTAATTAGAAAATTGTTTTCTTCTTTTTAGCCAAAAATGAAGCCCCTCATTCTGCTGTTTTGGATTTTCGCTGTGCCTGTACACACTTTTGTGCTTCAACCGAGTAAGTGTTCTTTGAAATTAAATTATTTAAATGATTAATTACTCATTATTAAATTATTGCCTTACTTAATATTTTTAAAGTCTGTTTTAAGGTTAAGTACAGAATGTTTCAGATGCAATAATAAACACAAATTGTTTAATTCATATGTAAATGTATTTGTATTATGGAACAAATGTAGTTTGTCTGTAATGTCCCTAACTCACAGTGCAGTCATTTAATCATGTAACTTAGATTGTATTTTTAATGTTCTTAGGTATTACAGTTGACAAATGTCCTAAAAGCAAGTGAATCATCAGTTATTTATGAGGGAGATTTTGTGTTCATGAAGTTCACAAAGGTTTATTACCTCTTATAGGTGTAAATGTGACAGTCATGCAGAATGTGTCTGCAGAAGTTGACCTTTGGGCAGAGCAGAGACTTGATCGTTTGATGGAGGCTACCAATACTGAAGAGGAGAAATCAGAAGGGGTGGAACAAACAAGAGGACAAACAGACAGTGATGTAAAAAACAAAAAAGTAGTAGAAAAAGAGGAGCAGCGAGGACAGAATCTGGATGAACACGACATGTCAGATGTAATCTCAACCAAACCCATCCACTCTGCACAGAATACAAGCCATTCACAAGAAATTAAGGGTGAGGAACATCCACCTCCAACTGTCAATCAGAATACCACTCCTCCTACCATGGCCACCGCCTCCCATCCTGTCCTGAACTTGCATACAAAATCAGTTACTGTACCTTCCTCGTTTCCCTCCACTTCACAAGGACAAACAGTAACTACTGAAACCTTACCTATCATAACCACAAAACTTCGCATTGCGAATTCAACTGCTGAGGCAATCGGAGCCATCTTGCTAGTAAATGAAAGCAGCACGAATGATGATCTCAGAGCGGAGCCCTATGTGATGAACAGCTCTAAACTCCACCCACTAGAGGAAGTGAGTGTTGATGTCACGGCAATGGCAGCAAGGGCAGGACCCACTGCAAAGGCCCCTCTCAGTACTTTTATGTTCGAATCAAAAAATAAAGCAGCAGGTGCCAAACCTAAAGACAATACGACACTGAAAGCAAAGAACAAAAAGGTCCTCAAAGTAAGGACAAAGAAGACCAAAATTAAGAAAAAAGCAAAGAAAGTGAAAAAGTTAAAACGAGAGAGAAAATTGAAGCCAACAACACCTTTGTATTTTCCCTATTTTGAAGATCACTACTGTCCCTCAGAATGTTCCTGCTATGGGAGGTATGTGCCTACTAAGGCCCAATCCCAATTCTATTGAGTGTCAAGGGGTAGGGGTGAAAATATTCCCCTAAGAATTGGAACACCACTACTATATGGTCACACGTCATCATACGTCATCTAGCTCCTACAATACACACACCTATACTGGTGTGTTTGTGTGCATTAGAGCCTTTAATTACCGTTCTATATTCATGCGCTGCTTACTGACACACACACACACACACATCAGATATCGCGCAGCTCACACATCCAGGAGCAAAGAAACTTGTCAACTCTGCCCCACGACTTTCATTAATAACAGTTTAAATACTGAATCACTACATAATATTTTACTGCGACGAGAGGATAAAATCGCTGTTTTTGAAGTAAACTCACTCTAAAAAGTGAAATGCACAGACGTGCATACACGCAACTTTCATCTCTCTCTCTCTGTCTCTCTCTCGCTCTCTCTCTCTCTCTCTCGAATTGGCAATATTTGAGAAAAGGGTTAAGCGATTTCTAATTATTTGGGGTACTAGCCCTCCTCAATGTCTATGGTGGTTATCGTCCTGATCAGACATGAAAATATTTTGTGGCACTATCGTGCAGTCCGTAATAATATGACGTTAGCAAACTTTAGCGATTTTTTGCAAACATTTCTTTGAGTAACATGACCATAAATATGAACTCATGATTGAATGTAACATAAAACAAATGATTACTTTTCGTTAAAATCTTTATTAATGCCAAAAATACTTACATTTATGTGTCTTTTTGTTCGCTCGGGCAGCCATGTTGCTGCTGAAGCTGGTTTACGCTGATATAATTCATACCCCTTCGTCTGAAGTGTGGTTCCGAAAAATCTTTGTTTGAAGGGCTATCTGGCCCTTCCCCTTACCCCTACCCCTCCAACCAAAAGATAATCGAGACACCCCTACCCCTTCACGTGAACGCGCGAAACGGAGGGGAAAGGGGAAGGGCTAAGGGGTAGAATTGGGATTGGGCCTAAATCTTAAACCAACATGCTTAATAACTGTCCTGATGCTACTGAGTATAACACTGGAAAACGTTAAGTTTATATGCTGTAATTTGACATTATCTCTTCTTTTCCAGGGTTGTGCAGTGTTCCGACAAAGACCTGGGCAAAATACCTTACGGAATTCCTTACAACTCCCGTTACATTCTCTTAATGAACAACCAAATTGATAGCATTCAACTGAAGTTGCTCTCCGAGTATGACTCCATGGAGTTCCTGGTGTTAAGCAACAACCATTTAACAGATCAGACGATCGAGGGTGCCTTTGAAGAGATCAAGAGCCTTAAAAAACTTTACATGGAGCGGAACCTACTTCGAAGCATCCCCACTGACCTGCCCATTACTCTTGAGGAGCTACGGCTGGATGGGAACCAGGTTAGTGTGATGTCCGATGCAGCCTTCAGACGCTGCCCAAACCTGCTGATCCTTAGCCTGAGCAACAACAGCCTGGGGAACAAATCATCCACTATCCCTCCGGGAGTTCTTTTACCTTTGGGCAAACTTCGGACACTTACTGTATCCTACAACCAGCTTGCCTCTGTTCCCCTGCAGCTTCCCCTCAGTCTTCGAGAACTCTATCTCCGAGGCAACAGCATTCAACGCCTACAAGGCGACATGTTCTGGGGTGAGGCGGAGTTGCAGGTGCTGGATCTAAGTTCAAACAGATTGACCTATAAAGGGCTTGGGAAAGCAGCACTATTAAATGCCAGTCGCCTTGAGAGTTTAAATCTAGAGGGCAACTTACTGAAGCAGGTTCCTCTCCATCTACCCCGCAGCATAAAGACCCTTAACTTGGAGGGAAACTTCATCTCTAGCATCGGAAAGGATGCTTTTATCTCAATGCCTCAGTTGGAGCACCTAGGCCTAGCAAGAAACAAGATCACTAAAGTGGCCCTTGGTGCCTTTCGGGTTCTTCCTCTTCTGCATCAGTTAGACATGAGTCACAACGCATTGCAACAGGTCCCACGGCAGCTCCCATTATGGCTCCACTCTGCAACATTTTCGCACAACAAGATCCGTATAATTCCACGTAATGCTTTTTGTTGGGGTCGAGGTAACGAGTCTCCTCTCAGCCGCCTAGTCAGGGTTCACCTGGAATATAACTTGATAGATCTGGGCCACCTGGACACGCTGGCCTTCCGTTGCCTCAGAGGCTTTCAGGTGGTGCAATTTTACTAAACTGAAGCAATTGGGAATCCCTGTAAATGGTTAACATATGGGTAGAAGTGGAATCTGAATTTGGTTTCAGCTTGGGTTTTCTTTCTTGTCTGGACTGAAGACCTTTAACAGAGCCAGCAGCATCTGGTACAATGATGGGAAAAAAAATCGGTGAACTTTCAGTATAGGTCAGAAGTCTGAAATTTGCAGTTAGTGATAAGGAAACTTCGTAGACTGCAAACATGTCATATAGGACAGAAAATGTATCCTGGCCCTGATCTACAAACCTTACAAAATAACATTTTGAAGTTCGAGCTGTGTGTAGTGCGTTGCTCCTGATACATAAAGAGCAGTTGTGCTCATGGGGACACAGATTTTGAGTTCGGCCTGGGTCATGACCCATTCCTGATGCCCCTTTCCCCATTCCTTCCTTCCTGGTGATGCTTAACTGATTTTATTAAAAGCCTAAATATAAAAGGATTTTAGTGTCTGAGGCCTGGATTACTTGATTTCCATAAGCTGTATTGATGTTTTACAACTGTTACATCACTGAAATGTGACTAGTTTTTAAACACCAGAGAGAACAAGGCTGTTTTGCTTGGATGAAACCTGAGACAGTTGTTTTGAGATGACTTTGTTTTTATTTGATGTTTCATAAGTGTATTTCATCATTGAAGTTTATTACTTATGAAAATAAAACACCCAGTTTCTAATCTGGCAGTCTACTTTATCTCTTTCTTCAGCCAGTGTTATATCAGCACTGTCCTTTCAGCTCAAGGGTGCGCTGTTTAGATATACTGTCTAAGATTCATGTTATAATAGCTTTCAACATGGAAATTTATTATGATAAGTATATAAAATATTGTGAGTATGTTTTTCGTTATTCATAGTGAAAAGAGTGTTTTTCTGAAAATTGCTTGATATGCAACAAGAAATTCATCATGACAAGTATATAAAATATTGTCAGTATGTTTTTCATTATTCATAGTGAAAAAAGTGTTTTTCTGAAAATAGCTCGTTATATTTTTCTTGGTAAATGCTTGGCAGGTTTTGCTGCTTGGCTGCGGTTATTTAAAGTGAAGAAAAGCGCATTATTCAGAATTTGGCTGAGGTGAACTTGGCTGTTTCTCTCTCTCTCACACATGGGACTTATATAGTCCATCTAATTATACAGCAATTCCAACGTGTGTGTTTTTTTCCACTGCAAACAAACATGTTTGGTTGAAAGTTATTGAGTGTCTCCCTGCTCAAGTTTATGCAGGAGCCAGAGTCCAGAATTAAGGAGAATACTGCCTTGTGAGAGACTCTTGTACTCGGTTGTATTCACCACAAGATGGCAGAAGATTATATTTTAAAAATGCTTCACAATAGATAACTTTACACCATACTTTTTAAATATTTCTCCTGGTTATTCTAAAATGATTTGCAAAGTTAATGTGATCTATTAGGAACTATTATGCACAAAGAGATTTGTTCATCTTCAGCCCTTTGACATATGGGTTATTACTAACTGTTATTTAAAATCTTCCCCAATCTTCAATATTTGCTTATCTTTATGTCTCAAATGACTGTTCTTGTTTAATTTCTTCTGACCTGTTGAAAGCAGATGCAAATTATGTGCATGCTCTAGAATATGACCAAATTTGGCAGGGTGCTGCCAAAGTCTTGAGGTCTTTACTTTCAATTAAGTGAGACTGTTTAAGCAAACCATATGAGTGTGTGTAAGTGGAGAATGAGTCAGGGAATACAAAGAAAGAGAGGTGAAGAGGGGGAAGGGGGTGACAAAGTGAGGGAGAAATGAGATGGAAAGAAAGCAAATAGCAGCTTCATGTGTAGGGTTGGTAAATTCCATCTGTCTAATAATGCAGGAAGGCTACGTGGCACTGGGAGACAGCTGCATAGAGAGAGAGAAGAGAGGAAGACAGAAAAAAGAAGGATTTTAGGAAGGTGAAGTACTCTTCCAGAACCTCCCTACAGTCCAGCAGGACCCTGGCCCCTATAATTTATTTATTTATTTTACGTTTTACACAATGTCCATTAAGCAAGGAGACATGAGATAGAAGTAAAGCCGATACCTCTGATTATTTGTCAGGATTTCTGCTATCATTTGCAATTACAAAGAAGCATCTATAACTATCTTTTAAAATTAAGCATCAAAGTTCCATAGAAATATGACTTGAAATATGAAAAGTTCTGTAGTGACACAATTTACAACACATTAGGAGTAAGTCATGTCAAGAGGTAAGCTAAATAAGTGGGAAATATCTGCAATTTATATTTCAAAATAAATTATAGATTATTTTGTTATTAAAGACTGAATATTCCGAATATTTTAATCTAGTGAAACAATTTTCAACCGTATTTGTAATAATTACAACATTTTTTGTGTTGGTGTTTTAGTAGACCCCCTGGCACAACATCATTTATTTATATTAATCTTAGTCAAATAATTCAGATGGTTTTATACACTGGCAATTCAGAAACATATATTTTAATGCTATGATATATACTGTATGATATATAAGTCTGGATAAATCTGCTTTGACATAAAACCCTTTTCACCTGCTATGTTTTAGCATTAAAAAAGACTTTTATACTTTTCACGTGTGCATGTGCTTCACAGGCAGCAGTAGATTTTATTTATTTATTTTTAATATATATTGTGAACAAAAATGTGCTCTATTTAGTAGATCAAGGTGGCACAATATACCCTTGGCACTTCTTAGCCCACTTTCCCCTACACTTCTTTCCAGGAACATTCGCAAACATTATTACTCTCTCTCCATATCTCCAGATAGCCTTTTGAATGGTTGAAATACAGTGTTGGATCTGACAATCCCTAATGCATGAGTGCACGATTGTGCCAGTTCTGGCATCATGTGTGCTAAAAGAAGTGTAGAAACAAACAATTAGGCATAGGAACAAACAGCAATATAATTATTGGGTGCTGGCCTTAGATTGCAGACATCTCATGAACCAGGGAAGGTCACAGACTGTTGTGTTGCTTGAGGTAAAAATGTAGTTGCTTGAAGTAGATAGTTGACAGTTCAGCACAGTAAAAATAAAAGTAAAGGCAATGCGGAAAATCGTGAACAGCAGCGTAACCGCAAAAGCCTGCCTGCTCATCTAATGCTAATGCTAACATCTGTGATTTCATTAGGATTCAGTCTAGCCTGTGGCGTTTAATGAACAGAAGGCCTGAACTTAGTTACCATTGAAGAATGTCTGCAAACACAAAGCCAGGAAATGAAACCCCACCCTGAAAAAAAGCAATAAATGGATAGAGACAAAGTGTCTGTCCAGGTCAATAAACAGAAAATCAGGTCAACACTGGTCTGGAGGACCTGTGTCCTTTAGAGGACATGGGTCACATGGAAATGGGGAGTCTGGGATACCTGAATGAGTAAAAATGCTTGGTTTGATGACTGTTTCTGTTATTTTGTGGTGGAATGAGCTTCCAACTTCCAATTATCTTTTCTACTTTTCCGCTTTTTCTATTCTTACACTTCTGCACTAAGTTAATATCCTTGGATGATAAATTGCTTGGGTTTGTCCTCATTTTTAAGTCACTTTGAAAAACATCTAAAAATGGCAATGTTACTATCAGACCATGTTTTGATTTAATTAACAAGTAAAAAGTTTACTTTCTGATCAATTGATCTGGATAAAACTTGACTGTTAAATGTATCCGTGATTTCATATTTAAAGTGATCTGATCGCTCGAAAAGCAAAAGATATGTGTACTTGAATATAAATCACGCATAGTCTGCTCCCTTAATTCATATAAAAGATTGATTTTTACAAACATGTAGCCTGACCCGTAAGTTTAAAGGGACACTGGTCAAGTGTTCAAAGCTGAGGTGACTAATTCGGTGCTATTACTGCAACCGAAGTGAGGTGGCGCTTGAGTCAGGGGAGCGGAGAAGGAGAGAGAGACAGGCAGAAAAGAGGGAGGAGAGAGAAAGGGGGAGGTGGCAACCAAGCAAGAAATAGTAACAGAATCGAAGACAGGACCATGGGAGCCAGACGGACCTCTATACACTCACACCCACACTTATATATATATAAGGACACACTTACATATGTACTTGCACTTACAGCCCCTGATCTTTCTCACCATCACCTTTTCTCTCTCTTCCCTCTATTTCATTAACCCTTAATAGGACAAAAACTTTGGTATGGACACAAGGTGTCTGCAAACCGGCAAATATAAAGTCTCATTTACACACATACAGGCTCCACAAGAGGGCTGCTGTGTTTACTATTTTTCACATTAGCTAATCACTTGCTGTTTCACTCCATTATTTATCACATATACAATTGCATGCAAATATATACATATGAATATAAATTGAAACTGTTTTCTGTCCTGGAAATCTCCATGCAGGCAGTCAAGCCATGCCTCCTTTCTTCTGCACAGGGTCTGTGTGCGTAGGGTACAGGATCCTATATTGGTTCATCTCAGGTTATTTATACATTTTAACTGATTCTTGCAGAACAAAGACATTTATGAGTATCTAAACAGTGTAATTAAAGAAGCTTTTGTTTAGAAAATAAACAATAGCTGCTGGAAGTGTGTAATTATATACCTAATGTTTTATTATCTAGCCTTAGATACAGCAAAAGGATATTTTCCAGCCTGAGGAACATTCACAAGGTTAAGTGCCATAAACAATGCCCTTATAGGGTCATATGACTGCTGGTGTTAAAGTTAAAGGTCAAAGGTCAGTATGCTTATTTTACACCAGCCCTGCATGGTTTTATCCCTAAATGTTATCTGTGAGGCCGGATTACGAGACCCCTGAGCATTCAGGTGTGCTCTTTAGAGTCTTTATAAGAATTCCACATTCCTAAAGTGTGTTTCCAAAGCTTTATTAGGTTGTTTTTCCTAAAAGATGCCATGTTGAAGAAAAAAAAAAAGGAAGAAAACAAAGAAAAGGTACTTTATTGAACAGGATTTTGTCTCACCCTTTTTGTCTTGTCTTTTTTGTCCCAGTTCCTTGTTTAGATATTCTCCGCTGCCGTCACCTTTTAAAGAACTCATTCTAAGACTGTTAGACAAACAACAAGTTATTAATGGTGTTTTATAAGGTAAGAATCACTAAAGCCATTACGATTTATAATTTGAGCAATTTCTTGATCTTAAGTAGTAAACTTTGACAAAAGATGTGTCCTGGACCATGATTCATACATCCAATTGTACGGCTTATTGAGGAGAGGCGTGTTTTTACTTTTCAAGTAAAAATGTTTGCTTGGCAGACAATCATTTTTCAAATTAGGACGGTAAACAATGACCTAGCAATCACCCAAAACATATTTGAAACAGCTTAGCAATGTGCTAACAACAACTCTGGACATTTTAGCAACCAATTAGCATTGTGATGACGACTTCCTGTTTTTCCTTTCCCTCTCTTCTTTACTCGTTTTGTCCCTGACTGGACAAAAAGTCTATTTGTGTAAAACACAATGTTTCCTCCTCAAGCAGACATTACCTAAGCACTCCAAAGTTGATGCTTGTCTTACCATTTGTCTGTCATTTTTTCCTTCTAATACCGTCTCGTACATGTCAATGGGAATTAGGACGGTAGCTTCATTAGATGAGGGGGAAATGCTTGTGAAAACGATCTGATGATTTACCGTTTGCCACTAGGAAGTGGGGTAAGCGTTCATGACGCAGCTTTTTCTAGGCCTGGCGACACTCAGTAA